CCCTGCACTTGCCTGCCAGGCAGGCACTTATTCTACTGAGCTATCTCCCTGGCCCTCATTACTGACTCTTGAGAAGTAAAACTGTGTCTCAAACAGAACTCATGGTCCACTGGCTCATACACTGTTTTCATATAATCTGTGAGCTACAAAGGTTTTACTTTTTTAAAAGTTTAAAAACAAAAAAACCCAGGCATTGTGGCACATGCCTTTAATCTCAATACTTGGAGGGTGAAGCAGAACTGCAGTGAGCTCGAGGCCAGTCTAGGCTACCTAAGTGAGTTCAAGGCCAATCTAAACTATATAGTGAGACCTTGCTTCAAAAAACAAAACAAAAACAAAAAAAGGAAGAAATAAAAAAGAAAAGGCTTACTAGACCTGAAATGTTCATTATTAAGGTATTACAGAAAAAGTTTGCTGATCCCTAGTCTAAAATCTACTTTGCACCATGTTTTCTACAGATACAGCTTTACCACTTTTTTTTGGTTCTTTTGAGACAGGGTCTCACTACGTAGTTCAAACTGGCCTTAGGCTCACTCTGTAGCCCAGGCTGGTCTGGAACTCATAATGATCTTCCTGCCTCTGCATCCCAAGGGCTGGGATTACAAGGCATGAGCCACCATGCCCAGCAAGTTTTATTACTTTCATACTGATAATAAGAAGGATCTCTTAGTAGAGACTTTTCTAACTTCTAATAGGTCATGAAAAACAGTTCTGTTTCACACTCTTGCATACATACCTCGGATAGGTCCCAAGGCTGCATCTTTTGCCAAAGCTCTTAAGTCACTTCCTGAGTATCCATCAGTCATTCTAGAAAGTAAAGCGAAGAAACAGCAAACTATTTTCATTTTTGCAGAATAAAAATCTCCACAAAATTAAGAGTATAAACAAAGTATTTTGCATTTGTCAACAAGCTGATAGTCATGTGGTTTGATTTTTAAGGGCACAGACACAGTTTTTAAAAGTGAAACATTATACTAATTGCTTACTGTAATGCCTCAAACTTTCAATATTTCAACAATTGTTTTAGGCATATTTTCTAGGAAGTCTCATTAATTTTTAGTAAACATGTCTTCTTGAAAGGCAAAACCTACAAATCACTGGTGATCAATTGACATACAATCATAATTATTTCTCTGTCTTTTTGGCACGAAAAGCTCTCTTGATGAAATAAGGGCCAATCAAGATAGATTTCTTTAAATGAAGGACATCAGAAAGAAGGATCTGGTATAAAAGACTGCCCAAAAAAAGGGCACAGTAGAGAGGATATGGCAGCCAAGAGATGATCAAAGAAAGCAACTAGGGCAGAGAGGAAAAGGCGAGGTGGAAAATTAAACAGAAAAAAAAAGGCATTTCTTATATACTTGAAAGTTAAATAACTTTCAAGATGAAATACTATTAGCAGAATTCTTTACTGGAATAAAAAAAAGACATATTTCTAACTATTTGTTCTTTTCTGACAGGTACATGGAAACTCTGTGTCCTTACTGAAATTATTCACTACTCATATACTTGTTAAAATATTTTCAATTATTTTTTTTTTCAATTATTTTGGTTGATTTGTTTTTGAGAAAAGGTCTTTTGAGGATATCCTCCTGCCTGCCTCTTGAATTCTGGTATTAACTATGCACAACTTAAAATATTTTAAATTATTCTGTGACATTTTCCAATGACTATAATCCTTGGTACATCTCCTACATCCAGTTTCTACTTCAGTACACTATTCATAAAGAAGTGTAACTTATAAGCTGATGTTAATCAGGCTCTTCTGTGGCCTCTGCTCAGTAGGACCCCAATTTGGGCTTGTTGTAGAATGCAGCTTGAGCAGGAAGCCTGCTTAGTGGTTTTAGTAAATATCTGCCTTCCACAGTATATCATCATCCTTGATATCTAATCACGCTAGTCAACCTCCACCAAGAACTCTACTCAATCTTGTACGGACCCCTTTTACCCTTGATGTTTCCTGTTAGTAATTTTCCATCTACGGACCTTCATTTTGCTTCCTGACTATAAAACTCCACTTGTCCTTGCTGGAGCCAAAGTTGAACCCAGTATCTGTCCTACACAGTAAGATCCTGCATTGCGTGTGTGTGTGTGTGTGTGTGTGTGTGTGTGTGTGTGTGTCAGTGGCGATTGAATCCAGGATCTCTGTACTGAGCTTTACCTTCATTCTTTTTAAAATTTTTTTATTCTGAGTCAGAGTCTTGCTTAGTTGTAAGGTTGGTCTCAAACTTGCGATCCTCTTGCCTCAGCCTCCCAGAGTACTGAGGTTATAGGTATATAACACTATCTGGCTATCATGGCCCTTCTTGAATTGTCTTTTTTATTTTTTTGGTACCAGGGATCGAACTCAGGACCTTGTGCTTACCAAGCAGGTGCTTAGACTGCCAAACTATTTCTCCAGCCCTTGAATAGTCTTCTGTACTGTCTTAAGCTCTTTGTTTGTTTGTTTGTTTGATGAATAAGTTTATTGGTCTTTATCTGAAAAATCTTCATAGAAATTTGGTTTAACTCTCAGCAGCACGCTCCTGAGCTCTGAGGAAGCTTGCTTTCTTTTGAGCTACCCGATCTTTCTTCTGGGCAAGAGACATTTTGGGACGGTTCCACCTCTTCTTTTTAACTTCTCTCTTTGGTTTCTTTTCATAGACTGGATTCTCTCGTATAGCAGCATGAGCTTTCTTATACATTTCCTCCATCATGTCTGGAGTTACATTGTTCTTTATGTACTGAGAGAACTGTTTCTTGTAAGCATCTTCATCTTCTTCCATTAGGTAGTGCATATAGTCTGCGACATTCTGACCCATGATGTGCTTCCGATGTACTTCTGCATTAAACTCCTT